GGTACCAACTTAATTAGCTGGAGCCGCTCTATGACTATATCTTTCAATCTATTTAACGGGTGCCAACTTAATTAGCGGGAGCCGCTCTATGACTATATCTTTCAATCTATTTAACGGGTGCCATCTTAATTAGCGGGAGCCGCTCTAGGACTATATCTTTCAATCTATTTAACGGGTGCTAACTTAATTAGCGGGAGCCGCTCTATGACCAGACTGGAAATTATCTGGAATTTTATATCATCAATGGAGTCTATTAATGATATATTCATTTTGAGCATTTGGCCCAGTTATTAAATTACCTTAATTATTTTAAAGAAGTTGATGTTTGTTGTTTAGTATTTATTGTCCGCCATCATATGTTCTCTTGATAATTTGTTTCGTGTGATGATGTATTTTGAATTTCACGGTACTCAGACATAATCAGGATCTAGATCTGATTTTATTTTAAAGTTTTTATTTTTTTATTTCTTTTTTCGCCTCAGACACGTAATTTATAGCGTCAGTTGTGTGTTCGCTTTAGTATTACAGTTTTCATCATCGGCTTGTGAGGACTGATACAGATTTACAATAGTAATACTTTTTTCTTTCTTTTTTTTTTTTTTTTTTTTTTCAATTTTAAAAAAGCATTATGTTAAGATCAATCTGATCGTTATGATCCTTTCTTTCTTTCTTTCTATATGTTATTTCTTTTTTTTTGAATGTAACAAGAATATTTATTTAAAACATGTGATGAACACAATCATGATGAAATCTCACTACAAATTATTAACTCGTTCACACTAGACAAAGCTTAAAATTTATGAAATTGAATTCATACTGGCAGAGTGAAACGCAGCATTCACACAAAATGTATTTACAACACAATCATCCACTGTTCCATATAAACAATCTTAAGAATGAGTGTCCATGTCATTTACTTCCATATGGTTCTCTTTGTAATATTTTGTTGAGGACTCAAAAGTTGTCAGCATGTGACTGCACATTTGTTTTAAATCTTTCAAAGCTGCTTTAAAACATCCACAGCTGGTTTGCCTGATGTCTGAATGCGCAGGTTGATTTTGTTCTCCGAAGGATGGGTGATGCTGTAGCCAACAAAAGTCACATCTGGGTTTTTATTAAGCATATATTTCAAGGAATTCCCCAACGTATGATCTTCGTCGTGTAAGATAAATGTTTGACAAGTTTCATCACCATCATTTCTAGCATTGAGCAATTCTAGACAGGGCTTTTGTTTAGATGTTGAATCTTGATGGGTCATGGTGACCTTGGTAGAGCTAAACACGAGGTTTTTGTTGGAGTGAAGTTTGTTTATTTCTTTTTTAATCTATCAAAGAAAACATGGATTTTTAAATAAATTCTTTAAAAACTTATTAAAATTATAAAAATTAATATATTATTCAGCTAAAGGTTGATGTTTAACAGAACTTAAAATAAATAATGTTGATACCTATATATGATTCTCAGTTACAGATTTTTTTTAATGCATAAATTTATTTAATATTTTTTAATTGTATCAGTAATCAGTAAATCTGGGATTCTTGTAATGTATTGTTTTCGACTACTTTAATACTTAATATTAAGTTGTTTCCCGTGATTCAGTTGAAACAAATCAGATGGGAAGTAATCAGTGAATATTTATTGTTTTTATTTTTTTAAGTACATTACATGCAATCAGAGGCGTAGCGAGGGGGGGGGGGGGGGGGCGGGGGGGGGGGACATATGTCCCCGGGCGCCGACCTTAGGGGGGGGGGCGCCAAATTGAAAGTTTGAGGGGGGGTGCAAATGAAAAGTTCGAGGGGGGGGTTGCATGCAAATCGAAAGTTTGAGGGGGGGGGGGGTGCAAATCGAAAATTTGCTCCCGAGGGGGGCGCCAAATTGAAAGTATGTCCCCGGGCGCCGGGAAGGGTCGCTACGCCTCTGCATGCAATAATAGTTATATTTAATCTTGTTAAAAACAGCTCACATCATAGCAAGGAAAACATACTGTACTAATCACTTAGCTTTAGCCGTCATTCAGTGGATACACAGTTGGCACCATGCTGTTAATGTAATTGTTCTACCGGCTTAAACGTACTTGTCTATCTGCCCGACTGTTTATCCGTCTATCGCTCTGTTTTGTTAATTGTATGAGAACATCTATACACAGTATATTAGGGGAATTTTGTTTTTGACCATGATATTACTTAAATATACTGCATGCACTTTTGGTCAGATGTTTTGCTATCTTATGTGTGCATTGTGTGAGTCTACATCGAATTCTGGGTTTAAATATTATTCTTTTAGTGAATTATCCTATGTAGTTTTTATTGTCAAATATCATTTTAATACACATTTTCGACACACACACATTTATATATATATATATATATATATATATATATATATATATATATATATATATATATATATATATATATATATACATATATATATATATATAATTATAATTATAATTATAATTATAATTATTATTATTATTATTATTATTATTATTATTATTATTATTATTATTATTATTATTATTATTATTATTATTATTATTATTATTATTATTATTATTATTATTATTATTATTATTATTATTATTACTTATTTGAAGCGGCTGGCAGAGGCAGAACTGTCATGGGGGACTGCTAGGAAAATCGACGGTGACCGACAAAAGTTGAGGGAGCTTTCTGTGGCGGCCCCATTTGTCTTGGGCTCAAAAAGGAAAAGATGATTATAAAATTTCTCAACTACCTATCTTTTTTAAAGAGTTCACCAGAGCTTACAAAAGCTGCTGATCAAGTAGTCTCAATATTTCGACAAATCATCAACACACTGTGATACTCAGTGATTCACAGTATTTCGACAGATTATCTAAAACGTATATTATGAGCTTAACAACGAGGCTGCTCAGTATGTTGAAGCTGTTTCAGACCTTCTGTAATGTTTTCACGGTGTACCTTCAACTGACCGTACAAAGTTACTTTATATAATTGAGAGTTATCGTATTTTTTATGATAAAAACAATAAACATGTACATCATATTTAATATTTTTAAATAATAAAGTCGTTCAGGAAAGCAATTTGGAAAGTTTTTATATAATTTTAAATATAGACTAGTTAGAGAATATTTTGTCGGAAAAGAGCAACTGTACCAACTTTAAAGTATAATTGGAGAATATTCTTAAAATAAGTCTTTAAATTAGCTACCACTTTTTAGTTTGCATTAATAGCCTAAAAAAAATTCGGTATATAGATAAAAGATAATCTTACAGTAATTTCCTATAAAAACAGTTTATCTCTTTTTATTGAATAAATAATTATAGACCGAATTGTAAATTTTGATAGAGCAATCATCTTTTTCTAATTTAGTATTAAATATTAAGTCGTCTCCCTTTAATCCCCGTGTAAAGAAAACGATAGCAGTAAATGCTATTTGTTGGCCTATAGTTTTATTTTTTTCAATGTAAAAATAGTAAATTTGAATAAAGTTACGATTTCCAAACTGGCAATCCAAGGGTTCAAATGTTTCTGTGACCCCTACAAAAGACGGTATATTGTTTTGGCCCAGCCAATTTTACTGAACGAAATTCTTTGGCAAGCCTCATTGCTAATGAACAAAAAAAAAAGAACTGTATGTAGCCTTAAAGCTACGTCGCTGAGCGTAGATCGAAAGAATTCGTCCAGAAAAATCATCTACATGAGTTGCATAAAGATTTCCCAACCAGTGTAACACCCAGATACAGGTCGCAACAATATCAGTAGAACCCAGGCCGACAAACTGAGTATATAGGTATGGTTGTCTACATCTGATAGGTACTCTGATCATAAGTTTTCTTGTTGGTACGTCTATGCTGGGCAGTTATCGTCTTTGATGTTTTCATAATATGCCATGTATAAAAATGTGCAAATGAAATAAGCATTAGCGATTAATATAAGTTCCTATCGTGACAATATATTTTTCTTGTAACTGTGAAGTCGAAAATCACAAATACCACATAACAATCGCCACAAGCTTACAAACGTGATGCCCATTAAAAACTCAAACCACAATCCCACAACACAAACCAATACGACAACCGCTCAATGTACCCCACACCACAAACCCCACATCACAAACCCTTTCCTCAAAACCACAACAAAGCCATGACACCATTAACCCTCACACCATTAACACCAAATTACAAACACAACACCACAAACTCACACCAAACCCCACACAGTAAACACCAAACCACAAACACCACAAACCACACTACAAATCTACTCTACCTCTCCTCAACACCAACCTCACATCATCAACCCTTACGCTTACCACAACTATACCAACGTTGCAACTCTAAACTCCACACCTATACACCCAAAACTCATTACTCCCTAATTACCCTAGATGATCACACCAACGCTTAATTAACCAGCCCGCCACACCAAACACCAATATTTTCGCTCTACTCCTTAGCCCAGACCACAACACCACAATTTGCCCGACACTGCTCTTATCTTCAAATCCCTAACTAACCTGACCAAAACAAATGGGATTAAACAAACTCGCACATGCGCATAATTTATTGTTCTTTTATTCTGTGTATTGTGGGACATCAGAAAGACCGAATGACGTCACGTCAGGACTGAATGACTTGACATCTAAATGGGCCATATGAAGTCACATCCAACTGGGCCATATGAAGTCACATCCAACTGGGCTATATGAGGTGACATCCAAATGGGCCGCATGACGTCACATCCAACTAGGCCATATGAAGTCACGTCAAAATGGGCCATTTGAAGTTGCATCCAAATAGGCCATATGAAATTACATCAAAATGGGCCTTATGAAGTGACATTCAAATGGGCCGTATTAAGTTGCATCAGAAGGAATTGATGTCTTGACATCAGAAGCAGTGTGACGTTATAAGGGCCGCGTGACGTGACATCAGAAGCCGTATGACGTCAGAAGGTCTGAATGACGTGACATTATAAGGGCCGTGTGACGTGACATCAGAAGCCCTACGACGTCAGTAGGGCCGTATCTTCATCTCGCAGTTGTCGACGCTGGCGTAGTCCCCGGTCAGGTTGTACCAGTTGAGTCCCATGCTGTAGCTGTTGTCGCCCCAGTTGCCGTTGAGGTGCGCGTAGTGGCAGCGCTTGTACCACCAGCCTGCGTGGTAGCGGACGGCACAGTGCCTGCTTGGGTCGACGTCGTTGTCCCTGTCGTACGTGCTGAACATGCTGTTGGCGTTGGAGATGGACATGGAGTCGCCGGCGTCGCCTGTGTAGTTGGCAATAGTCAATCTATACCCTTCGGACTCGTTAAAAAAAGCGTAGCTGGCGTATCTAGCGTAGTATTTGATGCCGTTGTAAGTTAGGTCAATGCGTAGCTCGTGGCGAGACGTGGAACTCAGGCAGTAAATATTTTCGTTCCCGAGGTAAAAAGTCCCGATTCCGTAGTCCCCGAAACCGTATTTGTATTCCTCCCAGCTGCGGTAAAAGTCCACGGCACCGGAGAATCGTCGCTGGAAAATGGTCCATCCTCCGCCGTCGGTCACGGTGTCGCACATGACCGTTAGACCGGAAGTGAGCAGGACGACCTTCCTGGGTTCTGTGGTGTTCTTGACGTCCAGACATGACCTGTAGGTCTTTGACCTGTCGAAACTTGTGTTGTTTCCTAGCGTTACTTTACCTGTGAAAACATAGCGTCTCAATGATAGATATACAGTGGATGAGAGTTTGTCGTTTTACAGAATGTCTAATATCTACACTGCATACTGCCTAGACAAGTGTTTCTCGATCTATATATGTCTAGTATTGACACTTCAAACTGTCTAGAAGAGACCTTGTCGTTCTAAAGAATGTCTAGTATTGACATCCCACACTTTCTAGCAGAATACATTTCGTTATTATGTATGTCTAGTCAGTGGCGTAGCGGGGTGGGGTGTCACCCGGTGCGGCACTTAATGGTGTCACCCCCCAGAAGCGTAGCGACCCTTCCCGGGGACAAACTTTCAAATTTTCGATTTGCACCTCCCCTACCCCCACCCCCAATCTTTCGATTTGCACCCCCCTCATGTTTTTCTCTATATATTTTGCTTTTTTTTTTTTAATTTTTTGCCTTGGTGTCACCCCCTAAATGGTGTCACCCGGTGCGGTCCGCACCCCCGCACCCCCGCACCCTCCCCCCCCCCCCCTCGCTACGCCTCTGTGTCTAGTTTTATATCTTTAAACTGTCTAGAAAGTGCTTATTGATCTAAATAATGTTTAAGTATTACAATTTCATTTTATAATAACAATCCTTGATGAGTGTAATAAATAAACCAAATTAAAAATAAACTTTAAAATGAAGTAGAAAATAAGAAAATAGAACTAAATTTCTTATTTGGACGCATTGAAATCTCGTGAATGGACTAATATTTCTTTTCTATAAGTTAATATTTACACACTAATTCAGAAAAAGATTTTTCTATTAAGTCTACGAAAAAAAGCCGATTCACATTTGCCATTAGTGCATTGGCCTAAGCATCGTGTATGTGCTGCTGTGGAATAGATGTAGATTCTAGTAATAGATAGTTAAATCAGTATGTATGCTGCTATTTTATTAAATTAGACTGTGTGTAATTCAGTTTAGTAATGCATCATAGAATGGCTGTTTTTTTTTCCCTTTTTTGCACGCAGACTCGACTTTAGACACGCCATTAGATTAGACTTTACACTAGATTTTAGACTAGACTTTAGATACAGCATAGAACTAGACTTCAGACTAGACTTTAGACTAGAGTTAAGACTAGGCTTTAGAATAGACTTTAGACTAGACTTTGGACCTGGTATTAAAATAAACTTTATACACGACATTAGACCAGAATATGATAATACACGTCATTGGTCTAAAGTTTAGATGTCACCATACCTTGACACGGCATTAGTTTACAGTTTAAATGTCACCATACCTAGACACGCGGCATTTATGCAGGAACTTGTGTCCACCTTAGCTGGGTACGCAGGCATCTCCGTGAGGTAACAAAGTGATTGGTTTGTGTAGAGTTTTCCACTTGACCAGTTGGTTGAGCCGTTGTAGGGTAGGAGCCAGGAACCTGAAACATGCCATCATCGGCAGAATGTAAACAGTCAGAAGCACAGACCTTTAGATACAGTTAGCGTCAATAGGCTTGTAAGTCTCGGTCTCTCTCGCTTAAAATTCTAAATCTCATTAGCCAGGTAGAGATATAATTTTTTAACTAAATTATTTTGAACATGTGTCCCATTGATAATAAAAAAAACATGGCAGCTATTTGTTTCTAGACCTCACTTTAAGATTTTAAAATACTAACTGGCAAGAACGAGAAGGCGAATTTGGTGACCTACAAGCCATATTACAAAAAAAAATAGTATTTAAATTAACATCTATCATCGGCAGAATCTAAAAATTCACAAGTTAACACAGACCTTTAGATATAGTTAGCGTCAATTGCAGAAAAAATAATATTTAAATTAACATGTTATTATCGGCAGAATATAAACAATCACACGTTAACACCAACTTTTTGATATAGTTATAACAGAAAATATATATTTTTTTAATCAATATTCATCAATAATGCGGCAGTGTAAGAAATGTGTGTTGCATTTCGTGAATATCCACAGTAATGTCAGAAATGTGTATATGTAGTGAATGAGTGAATGGGGAGGAATGGGGGTGAATGTTATGTACACTTTGTACCCTGATCCGTTCATCCCTGTTCAATCATCGTGTTGTGAGTTGTGATAAACTGTTTGTACCTGTTTATGTAAGGGTATATAAGGTGTGTGTGAGCGTGTGTGATTGCCTCAGTTTAGTCCAGTTCTCCCACAAGGTTAGTGTAGGTTAGTTCTGTACTGTTAGATAGTCAATGTATCACCCTTAGAGGCGTGTCCGTGTGTTCACAACAGTATATTACATAATAGCTACAGCTCTGTCAGAAATGTGTATATGACATTTCATGTGTATGGTACATCTTATGAATAGATAGTTATGTCAGAAATATGTATTTTACATTCCATGAATAGTTACAGTTTTGTCAGAAATGCGTACGGTATACTCTATGAATAGTTACAGTTTTGTCAGAAATGGGTATGGTAGATTCCATGAATAGTTACAGTTTTGTCATGTGTATAGGTACATTTCATGAATTGCTACAGCTATGTCCGAAATGTGTATACTACATTTCATGTGTATATTACACTTCATGTGTATGGTACATTACATGAATAGCTACAGCTCCGTGACCACTTACCTAAGGTACAGTTCCTGAAGGTTTTACTGTAGAAAAACGTCCTGCATGCATTTTTAGACTTGACACAAGCGGACGCGCAAGAAGTCAGCCCAACATTCTCAAAGAAATCCTCTGTGGCAAGTAGTGTCATGTTTGTCGAGTCGACCGAGAAAAATCTGCCCTCTGTCACGTTCGTTGATGTGGCAGTACCTAGAGAGATACAAACAAAATGTCGGATGGTTAAATAATAGAGTTGAAGATCGCGAGATTTAAGATCGTTAACCCGGTGATAATTATGAAAATTGTACTATCTAAATAAAAGGTAAAGCCTAGTTGCTAACAATGAGATAATGTATATCTGTAACTCAGCGATAATGTATATCTGTAACCATAAAACTAAGCATAGCTGTAACACTGAGATAATCTATAGCTGTAACAGTGAGATAATCCATAGCTGTAATAATGAGATTAGGCATATCTGTAATACAGAAATAATGTTTATCTGTAACAATGAAATTATTCAAGGCTGTAACAATAAGATTAGGCGTAGCTATAAATTAAGTTAAGGCATATCTGAAACAATGTGATAAAGGCATATCTGGAACAATGAGATAAGGCATATCTGGAACATTAAGATAAGACTTATATGAAACAATTAGAGAATGCTTAGCTTTAACACCACTGAAATAATGCTTAGCTGTAACACTGAGATAATGCAAGGCATTTATATTGATATAGGATCGGCCTTTTGAAAGAATATTGAAATATTGAAAGAAGGCCTAGCAGTAACAAATGAATATTTATTTTTTACAAGCTTCATTTTAATTTAATTGCTCGTGCTTAGTAGTAATAATGCCTTTGTCTTTTTTTACTTGCTTCATAATTATAGATTTTTTAGGAGTGCGACATGTTAAGAGTGTTTCATTTTAAAAGTGTGATATTTTAGGTTTGCCAAAACTAAGGGTTGCGAAACTTTATTATGGGACATTTTAGAGGTGTGATGTTTAAGTGTTCGAAATTTTAGAGGTGTGCCAAAATTTAGGTGTGTGATATTTTAGGTGTGTGACATTTTAAGTGCCAAATTTTAAAGATGCGACATTTTCAAGGTGTGATAGTTTGGTGTGTGATATCTTGTTGAAACAATGCTCTGACTGAGGCAATTGCGTATACACCTTCGTTTAAACACACTGAATGCAAAATTTGTTCACTGCATGTCCAAAATACTAATATATCTATACCTTAGCTCTAATGACTTCTAACAACAATAATAAAACAGGGCGACTCACCTTCTTCAAACTTACTGAAACACAAAAACACGCAACTAAGATAAAAGTATTCTTTTCCCATTGTTAAAATATTTCCTGTTACTAAATTAAAATTCAAAATACCGATTGCGAAGTTCGGCAATAAACATCACGTTTATCACATGCATCTGGTCACTCTTAAATAGATGTAATGCTTAAACAAAGATGTCAATAAATGGAAATGGGACTGAAATCTGAGCAATGCAAATACGCCTTTAGCACTTTGACACACATACATCGCTATCGCAAATCGATTACAAATAGCGAAGGCTATTGGTGAATGGATTGTTCGGATTGAGGAGACGTGTTAGCTTATAGAAGAGATGATAAAAAACACATGCCAAAAATACTTCGTGATACTATAACAGTGAGAGTAAAGAGGACCATAAAAGAGGCTAAGATCAGATAATGCCAAGACACACAAAAAAAACACAAGACAATTTGCAGTTTAAATTCTATTTAATTTTTCTTTATTATTTATTCAAAACAAAAGTATTTTTTCTATATAGTTTGCTATTTTTTTTCCATGTTTTCAAACCTCTAAACGGTGTCACCTGGTGCGGTCCGCACCCACGGCCCTGTCAACCCATCCCCTCTGAATACGCCTCTGAGTAACCCAAAGCAAATGATTCCCCATTCGTCCTACATTCATACTCGAGTTTACCTTTCCACAATTAAACATAGTGTAAATATTGAAGATATATGACGTAATTGGCGATGTTCAAGGTCAACCAGCGCTTTTGTAATGATTCGCACTGACGTTCTCAAAAGATACGACACTGTGCCCCATTGTATTCAAACAAACTGCTAGATGGCAACCGTGTTAGTTAACACTTAAGACGAGTATTAAAATCACCAGAATTTACTGCGGTTATTTGCAGATAGTATCATTGCAAAACATTACGGACTGTTTGACTTTTTCAAATGGTAACCGCTGTCTTATTATAGTAACCACAAATAGACAGCTAAGTCTCAAGGAAGTGTCAAGGATAGAAAACTGACAATGGTTGACATCTATCTAATCGATACACGAGGAAGCATCGATGGTGATCGATATTTACTGTTCTACTGGTTTACTGTTTGGTTTGAGAAAATAGAAACATCAAATCATACTTGTGAGTAACTTAGTAATATGTTTACGCTGGCTAGCTACACTGACCAGCTATACTGTACAGCTTTATTGACCAGCTGTATCGTGACGACCAGCTACACTAACCAGCTACACTGACCAGCTACACTAACCAGCTACACTAACCAGCCACACTAACCAGCTACACTACTCAGCTACACTGACCAACTGCACTGACCAGCTACACTGACCAGCTACACTGACCAGCTACACTAACCAGCTACACTAACCAGCCACACTAACCAGCTACACTACTCAGCTACACTAACCAGCTACACTACCCAGCTACACTGACCAGCTACACTGACCAGCCACACTGACCAGATACACTGACCAGCCACACTACTCAGCTACACTAACCAGCTACACTAACCAGCTACACTAACCAGCTACACTGACCAGCTATAACTGACCAGCTATAACTGACCAGCTATAACTGACCAGCCACACTACCCAGCTCCACTAACCAGCTACACTAACCAGCTACACTGACCAGCTACACTGACCAGCTACACTGACCAGCTACACTGACCAGCTACACTGACCAGCTACACTAACCAGCTACACTGACCAGCTACACTAACCAGCTACACTAACCAGCTACACTGACCAGCTACACTGACCAGCTATAACTGACCAGCTATAACTGACCAGCTATAACTGACCAGCCACACTACCCAGCTACACTGACCAGCTACACTAACCAGCTACACTAACCAGCTACACTGACCAGCTACACTGACCAGCTACACTGACCAGCTACACTGACCAGCTACACTGACCAGCTACACTAACCAGCTACACTGACCAGCTACACTAACCAGCTACACTAACCAGCTACACTGACCAGCTTTACTGACCAGCTATAACTGACCAGCTATAACTGACCAGCTATAACTGACCAGCCACACTACCCAGCTCCACTAACCAGCTACACTACTCAGCTACACTAACCAGCTACACTAACCAGCTACACTAACCAGCTACACTAACCAGCTACACTAACCAGCTACACTACTCAGCTACACTAACCAGCTACACTAACCAGCTACACTAACCAGCTACACTACCCAGCTACACTACCCAGCTACACTGACCAGCTATAACTGACCAGCTACACTAACCAGCTACACTACCCAGCTACACTACCCAGCTACACTGACCAGCTATAACTGACCAGCTACACTAACCAGCTACACTAACCAGCTACACTACTCAGCTACACAAACCAGCTACACTAACCAGCTACACTAACCAGTTATACTTACCAAATACACTGACCAGCTACACTGACCAACTGCACTGACCAGCTACACTGACCATCTACACTGACCAGCTACACTACCCAGCTACACTGACCATCTACACTGACCAGCTACACTACCCAGCTACACTAACCAGCTACACTAACCAGCTACACTACCCAGCTACACTGACCAACTACACTACCCAGCTACACTAACCAGCTACACTACCCAGCTACACTGACCAACTACACTACCCAGCTACACTAACCAGCTACACTAACCAGCTACACTGACCAACTACATTAACCAGCTACACTAACCAGCTACACTAACCAGCTACACTAACCAGCTACACAAACCAGCTACACTAACCAGCTACACTACTCAGCTACACTGACCAACTACATTAACCAGCTACACTGACCAGCTACACTAACCAGCTACACTAACCAGCTACACTAACCAGCTACACTGACCAGCTACACTGACCAGCTACACTAACCAGCTACACTGACCAGCTACACTAACCAGCTACACTAACCAGCTACACTGACCAGCTACACTGACCAGCTATAACTGACCAGCTATAACTGACCAGCTATAACTGACCAGCCACACTACCCAGCTCCACTAACCAGCTACACTACTCAGCTACACTAACCAGCTACACTAACCAGCTACACTAACCAGCTACACTAACCAGCTACACTAACCAGCTACACTACTCAGCTACACTAACCAGCTACACTAACCAGCTACACTAACCAGCTACACTACCCAGCTACACTACCCAGCTACACTGACCAGCTATAACTGACCAGCTACACTAACCAGCTACACTACCCAGCTACACTACCCAGCTACACTGACCAGCTATAACTGACCAGCTACACTAACCAGCTACACTAACCAGCTACACTACTCAGCTACACAAACCAGCTACACTAACCAGCTACACTAACCAGTTATACTTACCAAATACACTGACCAGCTACACTGACCAACTGCACTGACCAGCTACACTGACCATCTACACTGACCAGCTACACTACCCAGCTACACTGACCATCTACACTGACCAGCTACACTACCCAGCTACACTAACCAGCTACACTAACCAGCTACACTACCCAGCTACACTGACCAACTACACTACCCAGCTACACTAACCAGCTACACTACCCAGCTACACTGACCAACTACACTACCCAGCTACACTAACCAGCTACACTAACCAGCTACACTGACCAACTACATTAACCAGCTACACTAACCAGCTACACTAACCAGCTACACTAACCAGCTACACAAACCAGCTACACTAACCAGCTACACAAACCAGCTACACTAACCAGCTACACTACTCAGCTACACTGACCAACTACATTAACCAGCTACACTAACCAGCTACACTAACCAGCTACACTAACCAGCTACACTAACCAGCTACACTACTCAGCTACACTAACCA